ACGATAGTGTGTGTGTGTGTGTGTGTGTGTGTGTGTGTGTGTGTGTGTGTGTGTGTGTGCATGCGTGCGCGCGCGCGCGCGTGTGTGTGTGTGTACAGCATACGATTACTGGACTACATGTATGTTTATAGCGATTACTGTACTATGTTTATAGCAATAATGTAACTGCATAAGCAGATTGGCCTTTTTTTCACGGCTATTGTTATACTAAATTTTCTATCTTTGTAAATTTCAGGAGGATCGTCACACGCGCCATGTCCGAACGCTACACTGTTCCGTTGGCGCTGGTACTTCTACTACTGCACACGGGGACCGTTCGAGCAGGTATTGTTATCTAGTACTTAGATCCCGCCCTCCCCCCAAATTTTGCAAATGGGAATTCCGGAAGCATATTGTATTTTCTGCCGTTGCCGATTAGCCATGTTTGTCTCGTAATTGTTTTCACACTCAGTCATGTTTCTTTTTTTAGCCGTTGGCGGGTCAATTTCAACATTCACTGATGACCACACGCTATTTAATCATGGTTAACATATATGCCCGAGGTGCAATGTTAAATTTAATGATAATGCTAACGTTTAACTTATTTTTTGTTCATAGCGGAGTACATGGGGTGCTACGAGGACGGTGAGACCCGCGTGTTCCCCTGGGAAGCGGTCTCGACAAGCGACAACAGCATCAAGTTCTGCGGGCTACACTGCAAGAAAAACGGATACATCTACTTTGGTAAGGCCACAGCAAGTAATTTTTATGGATGACATCCGCGCGCGCATTAATTTTCGCCTGATTTTGGAAAAAAAAAAAAAATTTGTTGCCCTCTCTGACAGTGGTCAACATGCCGGAGATGGGCAAAGATGTCTGTTGCCATGCTAGAATGTGGATGGCAATTAACTATAAAGAAAGGAGACAAGAAAAGACTCTTACTTTGATGCATTGATATGTGATGCTGGCTGTGTATATGTGATGTTCCCACTGAATCAAAACCATCTGTACACTGATTGAGTCAAAATTTTAAACTACAGGAACCTTTTTTTTCGGCCCGCCTTGTTTTTTTTCGCTCGCTCGCATTAGATTTGGAGTCTGGGGAGGATGCCATCCATTAAATTTACTTGCTGTGGCCTAAGACACGTATATGTAGTCAGTTATTCACTCGTAATAGATGAATATCCTGTCTCCTTGTAACCAGCCACATCCATTTTCTCACAGTGGCAGGTGTTTTGATGTCAAATACATAAAATTGTTTTTTTACAATTTTTTGGTGTTGCATTGCGTTTTTGCCTTGTAGTATAAATACGTTTCTTCCTAAGAGTAAATTTTGGGTTAATTATCATGGGTGTTTATTTTTAGGCATGCAAGTGGCAAGCGAGTGCTACTGCGGGACTGACAACAACTTCGCCAACTTGGGAACAATAAGACCTGACTCCGAATGTTTCACCCCGTGTTCCGGAAACTCGGCAGAAATGTGCGGCGGTGGTTACCGCATTTCTATATACAGACCCGGGAGAATAGGTAAAATTCCCATTCAGATGATTTTAATCTTGAGAAAATACGGTGCAACATAACACCCCTATGTTAGGGTAAAAGACGCAGAGGGTAGCCTCCTATGCAGGCTCCTGGCCGGTTGAAATTTTAATACAGCGTTTTATAGACTTCCGTAAATAATTTAGAATTTAAATAAAGAATTACCCTGATGAAGATGAC